GGGTGTTAAGCTCTTTTTATTCGCTGTTGCTTTTCCTGAGGACTCATTAGATTGTTCAAGGTTTTCTAGATCACATGGGGATCTTCTTGAATTCTGTGAAGGCAACTGGTTTTCAGATTCCTGCATGGGTTTTTCTGAAGATTGATCATGCATTTCTTCTGGACTCTGAATTATTTCAATTATATCGGCTGTTGTTTGTTTTGAAACGGAATGCTCCAATTCATCATCATTGTTCTTTAGTATCTCTTGCTTAGGCAAGTTTTTATTATCTTCCCTTATTACGTCCTCATTACTGCTTGAGAAAATCTGTTTCAGATCATTGCTGGCAACAGATTCAGGAAGACATTTTGTTTTATTGGGGCTAAGGTGCTCTTTTATCCAGTCTGAAGAAAGAGAAGGTGCTTCTTTGGCATTTAAATCAGAAACGGTGGATTCTTCCGAATCAGAGATTACTACTGTTTCAGATGTAATTATACAATCGGGTGTTTCCGTATCCTCTCCTAATGCATTGCTTTTTCTTTCAGTCTGGGATGTTGATTCTGCTTGCAATTTCAGTCGCATACTCCTGGTTACTCGTTTAAATGGGCTAGATTTTTCAAAGGAAATACCTGAGCACCACGATTCAGCATCAGAAACCTCTTCAGCTTGAACCTCACACACTGGTGACACATTACCCTTGACCTGTTGGCGTCTAGATTTTCTCACAGTTTTTGAGGTTCCTGATACAACAGAAGAACACGACTCTGCTTCAGAAATATCATCATGGTCTTGACAATTACTACTTTCATGTGTAACACTTTTTATGCTCGGCCTGTTTTTAGTTGAAGTCTCTGGGGTACAAGGAATTACAATTTGCCGCCTTCTGGTTATTCGTATAAATAATGGTGTCTGAAGACCAGACATGGAAGAACAGGTTGATTCTGCTTCTGAAACATCTCCATCGACTTGAGATTCTGACAGGGGCTCAGCTTTACTTTTACTCAAGACTGTGCATGCTTCTGAAGGCTCTTCTGCATCCAATTTTGTTTCAGAAGCTTTCATTTCTTCATTCTGAGATTCAGACATGACTTGTATATGGGAAATCCTTCTTGTTCTGCTTCTAGTTATCCTCACAGATGGGCTATCTTCCATTGCAGTCTGCTGTAAGAATGAAAAAAATGTCAGGTAACAAGCAAAAATAAAATAAAATAAATACATAAATAAATCCTTGCTCCATGAGAAACTCACAAATTCTGAACTATTAATTATCTATTGTAGATAGATAACAAAGTTATGCCTGCCATCACAAAGCTGATTTTCTATGCGCCAGCTTCTTTATGAACATTACTAGTTTCTCGCATACTTGCTTTGTAGATTTTATACTTGTTGGACAGAAAACATTATGTCAAGGTTAACACTTTTTTTATTAATAACTATTTTTCCTACTTCATAGCTATAATGAAAGATGCCCTGTGCCCAGCGTATCTTATGGGGTATGGTCCAGCAGGAGTTGCCATGGACAAGGGAAAGTGAATTTGGTTTGCTACTCTATTTTCCAAACATAATCTAAGCATTTCATTTGGTATTCTGCATTTCTTGCGAAAAGAGGAGATAATGTTCCTCTATCTCCCCTAACACTTACAGCAGATTATTAAATCACAACCTTGTACTGAAGAAAAAGGTACTTGGCTAAGAAAATAATAATTCATTTGCAGAGGAAGAAAAACTAAGGAAAAATAAAAAAAGAAATGTGTCACTTAATGTTATATCCCAAGCCAACTGCCCCCCCCCCCAAGAATTTTAAGAGGGGAACTTTTACTAATCCAATTTTTACAATGAGAAAAATGCCCAATGATTAGTCTATCTACCTAGTTCTGAAATGAATGGATAAATGACCATGTCTGCTATCGGCTCTGATAAACTGATTCATCACAGAAGGATAGATAGGTGAGACGTGAGGCAGAAAACTATTGTATTGGTGAACACATGCAGTATGATAGAAAAACATTGCAGAAGCCCTGTGCCCTCTGAATTTTACCAGTGTAGTTTCTAAGAAAGAGAACCTGTGAATAAAACGAGAGGGAGAGAAAACAGATGATCAATCAGTCCTCTTATTCAAAAAATCATCACAAAATAAGTTAATTAAAAGTAGAGAAAAATATGACAAACCTATACACAGATTTTGCCGCTAAGGGGAGAAAGGCAGACAGAAAGGAATAAAAAACTTGTTTACGGTTCTTGGCAAAACATTATTATATAATATATATATAGACATTTTCTTTTGAGAGTGGGCATCAGAATTTCATTTTTAAGGTGTGCTAATGTTTTCAACAGAAAAAAAATGACCATAAAGATTATCTTATCTAACTTATCTTATAAACATTGTTAAATTGAGGGAAGAATATTATTCCGCATTTCTTTCAGGTGTGCTTTAAGATTCCCACAGAAACAACAATTCTCATAGTTTTGACAGGATGATTTCCAGACAAAATTCTAATTAGAAAAATGTTAATAGAAATACTGCAGAGGAGTCCAACCCATTGCTCCGTAGATCTGTCTGCTTCGTCCACGACGCAGACCAAGATCACAGTCCCACCGCGATTATATTCCAAAAGGAACAAAGGCACTTATTCTTTTGGATTAAGGATTAGGATTAAGACCTGTAGAATTTCCACCAGGTCAGTAAACGGCGACCATAGTGCTGCCGCCCCACCTTTTTGCCCAAACCAGAAATGAGTTTCTAACAAAACCAAAAACCACCGTCACAAACCGAGGCGGTGCATTCCCGAAGCTTGCCCCTGCCCTCCTCTTTCCTCAGCCGATGTAAATGTTCACTCTCAGCATTTGCGTCCCCTGTCAAGGCAGCAACATCCCCCCACCCGCCCGTCCCCCAGCGCCCCAAAACCTCCCCGGCTGGTCGACGCCTTCAACTCCAGCCCGGCTCTTTTAACACCGCGCGACCCAAACGCAGCACGGAGACGCGGCACGCGCCCCCGAACGGCGAGAACGTTCGGGAATGGAATGGCCGAGCGCGTTCTGAGTTCCAAGCGCGTGCGCGGGCCGAACCCGACGGAGATGTACTCGGTGGGGGCGGGGGGCGCCTCTCTCTCTCTCTCTCTCTCTCTCTCACCTCTGCAGCTGGCCGTTCCAACTTCGACTCGCTCAGCCGCGTTACCCGCCTGGTGGCCACCATCTTTCCCGCGTGTGCAGAAGGAAGCGATTGTTCCTGTTTCGCTCCCAGGTGGCTTTGCCACTCCGAAAGAGGTCCGTCCGAGAAACTTCCTGCCCTGCCTCCGCCCAGTTCTTGGCAGGGACGGCTGCAAGCTATTGGTGGATGGAAAGCTGTTCACAAAAGCGTGAAGCCGGGATGAGAGAGAGGAAAAAAAGTCTCCTGTGCAAAGTCCATCTTTAGTCAGCGTAGCTGTACTGCCACGAGGCGTTATTAGCAATTAAAAGAATGCGGGGAAGCGGCACGATTTTTTTTTATTTCGGGTTATTCGGGAGTACGCTCACCTCAGCCCAAGGCTAGCGTTTTATACGTGGAGAGCAGCAATGGTCTAGGCTACAATCCCTATCGCCTTCACCAGTTCAACTGCTCCTCGTTCTGGATGATGCATTCAGAGGGAAATGGGTTTGGGAATACTGGAATCGCAGGCAAACCTTTCAATTTCCACGATAAAATCGCAACGGAGGTGCCCGTCAAATTAAATATAATTTTACCTCTATCTGAACATGGAAAAAAATTTTAGGTGATGGAAAGGCACTGCTTCCCAAAGCTTTTCCTTCGTTACCCCAAATCCCTTACCAGAAAGTCCTTTTCACCCAATGTAGGTAAAAAGGTCAGTTTAAATGTCTCTGTTGTGATTGGGCAAGGGGCCTGGATGTTACCTAAAGAAAAACCACTTATACTTGTTTTTGGGTAACTTACTTAGATTTGGGAAGCGCTGTTTTAAGATATTTGATTAGTTTAAAAAGATAAAATAATTGCAATTAAAAAACATCACAAATTTGGATTTTTATTCCCCTGCAAGTGCATCTCTCTATATACTTTCCTTAGTTCTGAAATAATACTAGATCGTGTGTCAAGAAATGATTTTAGAGTTTTTACTAATAACGTTAATAGATATTTAAAGGAAAATATTACTTCAAAAAGAAATCCTTTTTGCAAATCCTTTTTGGAAAAAGCTTAACAAAGGAGATTTAGAAACTACCAGCTATGTCCTGAATGTCAAATGGAAACTTCACAGCCATTACAAAGTTCATTTTAAATTAAACAATGTACAGTAGTTATTTTACCTATTCCATGAGACTTAACTCAAAAGGTTCTGCCTGGAAAAAGATCCCCTCTTTCCTCAATCCTGCCAGGAACATGTTCTGCTTTCACCATTACAGTGGATTGCATTTTTTGAGGTAACAAAATACTTTAAAACAGATTACAAAAATAGTAGTAATAATAAACTATATTTTATGTGAAATTTTCAGCAAGCAGACCTTATGGAAGACTAGTAGAGAATTAGGTAAACAGAATCTCCCCAACTATCTCCCCAAACTGATTTAAGATTCAAACAGTTATCTGCATTTTTTGGATCAAGATTTCTTTTAATCCATAATAACTGCAATCTAATAAAACATTCATTCATTACAGAAATTTAACATCTGACAAACTACAGAAAACAGCTGCTTTCTACAGTTCAATGCACTTTATATTCCAATCCAAATTTTACAAAAACGAAAGTTCTTTTGTATATTCAGTAACTTTTTTTATCTGTATATATATATATTTAAAGCAGCACATCAAAATTTACTCCAGAATGTTTTCTGATAAATTTGATTTCAGTTGATGTACTCAGTTTTTAAGGATTTCTCCCAACTAACCTGAAAATGGCCTCATGGCATTAAAATTCACTAACACCTCAATGAGCTCAATAGAACCTAGTTCCTGGTAAAGGCTGAAATTTGAATTAAGAATGCTTTTTCATGCTTAATATATTGTGGAATTCAAAACACCACCACCTGCTAAATTATCTAATGCAAAATTATTTTAATATAAAGTATAAGAGGTTTCCCTGTTGGAATGGATCCAAGTATGTGAATATGGTATGAAAAACATAATAAAACGTTTAGTAAAGCTATAACATTTTCTTTATAAATTAAAATCTTAAAATCCAGATAAAGTTTGCATCCCTTACATAACTTTCATATGTGCATTAATAACACAGAAATACACAATAAAATGGCAAAAATGTACATTGTTGAACTACTGAAATCTCAATAAGCAAACCTCTTTAGAGATAATCTGAATTAAAATATTCATTTAACTGCAGCAGTTTTTAAATTAAACTAAGTGCTTAAGACCATTGAATCAATTTATTTTGAAGAACCCACAAACTTCAAAGTAATTTATCTGCACCTCTGGTTGTTTTTAAGAATTCCTAAAAACGTCTAAGAAGCTACACTCAGTGCAATGCTGAAATTTATATATACAACTTTTTATCTTTTTCAAAATATAAGTATGTTTTAACTTCAGCAAAACCAATTTTTAAAGTTAGTTCTACTCTTCACTGGAGCCATATAATTCTGAGTTAAAAAAATCTTCTGAACATATGCCAAGAGAAGAATACAACAAACATAACAAAGATTGTGCATGGCTAGTCAAACTCTGGTAAGATGTTTGAGGCGTAGTGAACTGAATATAAATTCATGACTCTATTAAATATTTCACATATTTTTACCACTTGTGAAGTCACCTGCTTATTCCACCAAAATGTGGTTTATTTAGTTTTCCATCAGCTCAGCAGCCATAAAGTATACCAAGTCAATTATGCCTTACAAATAAAAATACTTCAATCAAAATATAGCTAGCTAGATTTTGAATTTATATTAGTCATTAAAATATTCCAAAGATTACATACAATATCCCTAAATTAGTAAATTTTAATGAAAAACAATATTGTTATAGGTGAGCCAACTGTTCTCAACACAGATCACCATATAGTATGTGAAAGTAAATGAAATTGAAAGAATGGGCTCAAGAGTACCAACCCATATGCAATCTGGGTTTTATGATAATTTTGTCGATTAAAAAACAACTACTAGGTTCAATATGAAGTAGAGATAGGGTCTCTCTGAAGTAGCCAGTTGTCAAGATCAGTGTTAAGATGATGGGATCCTTTTAGCTTGCAAGATGTAGCCCTTGGATTTGATAATCCCTCTGCTTTTAACAATGACTGAATACCGCAGAAGCCAGAGTGGAATCCATTCATGCCCCTGGCAATCTGGGAGGCTTTCCTGAAGAGCTTCCTGGAAACCTGTTTCACAAAGCAGTTCTAAGAGTTGAACAGATTATAAGAATAATATTTTAGTATATGTACTACCAGTATTATTTGATTAAACACACTTATTATATGATAAAAAACACATATCCCCAAACACACTTCAGAACACATTGGGTAGCCTATTACAGGTAATCCTTGACTCACAACCTTTAGTTTAGTGACCATTAGAAGTTACAATGGCACTGAAAAAGTGACTTTCACACTTATGAATGCTGCAGCATCCCCATGATCAAAATTCAGATGCTTGGCAACTAGCTTATATTAATGATGGTAATGTGATCACCTTTTGCAAATTTTTGACAAGTAAAGCTAATGGGGAAGTCAGATTCACTTATCAACTATGTTACTAACTTAATTGCAGTGATTCACTTAACTCTGGCAAGAAAAGTCATAAAATGGGACAAAGCTCACTTAACAACTGTTTCACTTACTAACAAATGTTGGTCTCTATTATCAAGGACTATCTATATTTTATCTATGTTTAAAATTAATACTATTTCGCCTACCCCCAAATTGGGGCAGAATTTTTGGTAACAAGAGCTGATATTTTCAAGATGCTACAGCTTCAACTGAGACTTCTGAGGTTGGAATTCTGCAATTGAAAATAACCAGATCACCGGAGGCATTTTTGGGGCTTTTAATTACTAAAATCCTCTTCTACACTACTCATCATAAATATAATCTCATGTAATATATTGTTTCATTTAATGAATTGGTATTTTGCCACCATCCCACACAATGTAATGGAAGCAAAAAAAATTTCAAAGGTTTTCCAGGCCTTGTTTTCATCCTACCAACCCACAGTCAGAGGGCTTTAGAAAGTCTTCAGAGACTTCAGATTCATTAATAGAATTGTTCTTGTTTATTGAAACAAGGCAATCCTCAGATTCTTAAGGTGACATTACCTTTTGGGTCGTTATGAGTTAACAGCTGAATATCAAATTCTTTTGCGAATAAAGTCAGATCTGGTGGCATTACACAACAGGAAGCAAGATTCACTTGGTTACTACTTGGTTTCACCTAAAATAAATGAAATATTCAATATGTAATAAAGTTTGTGTTTTAATGGAGTTGAATTCACAATGAGCAGCTTCTTTCTTACCTGTGCCCACCTGAACAGCTGTTCTAGCAATGTTTTATCTAGATCAGAAGTCCCTATGGCAACAATCTTTTTGTTCTGGACTAAGTTTTCAAGCTCTGTCCAGTAAGGTTGTAAATATTCTAAAGAAAAATTAATTCCATCTTCAGTTGGAGGGGGAGAAATGATCACAGAATCTAACTGGTCAACACCAAGAGCTGAACATGCTAAAAATAAACAAAGCAAAAAAATTAGACAAGGAATAATTTTATACATACTTTTAAAAAGCAGAAATAATTTATCTGTAATTCATTTATTCAATCCGTTATATTTATTTTATATCACATTCTATGCCAGGGGTGTCAAATTCAGGGCCCGCAGGCTGGATCTGGAAATAGCAAAGGACCAGCCCGCAGTGCCTCTGCTAGAAAAAATGGGGCGCAGGCGCCCCCCCTCCCCCGCAACAGCTTTTGGCTTCCAGGGTGGTCCAGGAGGCCTTCCAGGCCCAAAACGGGGCCTCCGGAGTGCTCCAGGAGGCCGTCCAGGCCCAAAACAGGGCCTCCGGAGTTGTCCAGGAGGCCTTCCAGGCCCAAAATGGGGCCTTCAGAGTGCTCCAGGAGGCTGTCCAGGCTCAAAATAGAGCCTCTGGAGCACTGCAGGAGGCCATCCTTGACTCAGAAGGTTATAAAAAAGAGGAAAAATAAAATATTTTACCTTTCAGGCTTGCAGGATTCTGCTACTAGCCTATGTCAATAATTTATAGTTCTAGTCTTCCTATGGAGTCAGTTTCTTGATCTGGTCTCTCTCTCTCATAAGATGATTAAATAGATCAAGTAAGTATTAAAAAACCAAAATCATAGAAATGTACGCCTCCCTATTTTTATAAGTTTATAAAACCATGTCTACGGAGGTGTGGTTCTGTGTCACGCCCACCAGGGCCACCCCCACCCACCCCCGGCCCTCCAAGGTCAAACCCAATCCTGATGTGGCCTTCAATGAAATTGAGTTTGACACCCGTTGTATGCAATGCATCTAAAAAAGGTAAAATATAAAAATAACTATAAATTAAAGCAACATAAAATGAAGTTTGCTTAAAAAAAGATGAGGAACATAAAACCAAAACCAAAAGATACACACTCTAGCAGAATTATTAATTCAGGAATGGATTAGTCAACAGAATTCTGAAATGTTCCATTCATATCATCCCCTGATTACGAGAGTTCAGTATGGTCTGGAGGGCGAACAAAATGATCTGGAGCTCTTCAAGTATAATTCACTCACAAACCAATAATATTTGTATGTTCCTTCAGCATTCATACAGGTACAGCATTTTGACAGTTGTAAGAAGTATGTCATAAAATACATGGTAAAGTGATTTAGACTCCAAATGCCACCATAGGCCTGTGAATCTACAGATCTTCAGAATTGTAAAGATCCGGCAAATTCATTTTAACTTGCAATGAAGTATCTATACAAAAAGGAGGGAAATGTACTGAAGGGTAGGGGAAAAAACTAGATTTTATAAGTAGGCTTTGAAATTTAGCTGTAAAATAAAAAGTTACTTTCAAAGCTAACTGAAAAGTTAACATGTCACCCATACCTTCCCTTATACACTTCTCCCCTTTCTACATTCATGCTTTTTTTCTCAGTAGCCCCAAATAATTTTAGCATGTTATAAGAAAAATAAAAGCCTAATTATTGTCAAGGGGCACAGAAGACTTTACCGTAAGAGCACTCGAGTTTACAGTCTGTTTCCTTTAGTGACACAAGCTTGCATTTACTTCTCTAGAACAAAAGGACAATCTTTGTTTTTTGTCAGCTGTAGTTCAAGGACAGAAAGGACATGAAAGTCTTTTTTTAAAAAACTTGAGATAAATCTGTCACCTGTTTTAGTTACAAAAGCATTGTACAATGTACAAAATATAACTGGGCAATCACTCAAATTTAGATTTTGAACTTACTCATATTGACTGCTTCTCTGATTGATGAGGAGTTTGATCTTGTGACAAAGAGCTTTGCTGAAAATGAAAAGGCGATCGTTAACAAGGAAGGCAAGATCACGTTTTTCTGGCTAAACATAAAAGCTCAAGGATGTATTAAGGCAGTGGTCCCCAACCCCCGGTCCGCGGACCGGTGCCGGGCCGTGGAGTACCTGGCACCGGGCCGCGCAGCGGCCGGGGGACATGAACGCTGCAGCGCAAAGGCTCCTGAGCCGTACGCAAAAGCTCCTGGGCCGTGCGCAATGGGCCGTGCGCAAAAGCTCCTGGGCCGTGCCCCCACCCCTGCGCGCGCTCAGCGGGCCGCGGCGATAAAAAGGTTGGGGACCACTGTATTAAGGGATATATTTTCAGTGGCTTACCAGAGTTTTTGTAAAAGAAGAAAAATGTTCCTGGCATCTTCAGTGAAAGGTAGAGAAAAAGTTTTGAATCCAACCATCTCCAAAGATATTTGGTTCTGCTGTCAAATTGCACTTACCATTAGATATTTTTTATAACCTTTTTTGTACCTGTTCCAATTTCTCCAAATTCTTCTGAAAGTGTGGGACTCAGAACTACTACTTCTCATAGTTTGAAAATTCTATTTCTATTGCATTTATCTTTTTGGCTGTCGTTTCATGTATTCAGCTTTTGATTCAATACAATTCCATTGTATTTTTCCATTTATTGTTCCCATCTGGAAGTCCCCCATTCCTGATTTCAGTTTCCTTTGCATACTGTCTGTTATTTTTTTCCTATTTTTATATTATTTTCAGCCTACTAATAAGGACCTATCAAAATCATTTATTAATTTATTTAATCAAATTCTGAAACCACCCATCTCCCTCACAGAGAGACTCCGGGTGGCTGAATAATATTTAGTTCTGATGATTTGCACAGGTTCATTTTGTAACCCTAAGCTTTGATTTAATGTAGAAATGCCACTAGTATGTAGGCACATTATTAGACATAACTATATTAAACAGAATTCCTATTCACCAAATGAATGTCCATTTCAATCCCACGTTTTGATGCTCTGTAACCAAGGAGTTTACAAGTAACACGAGTTAAGTAAAGTAAGTAAAGATTATTCACATTTCTGAAACATCGAGCACAAAACTGATTTTTACCTGAAACTTTCAATTCTTCTCTTTCTTCAGAATTAATCTTTTCTACTGCTTGTGGGAGAGTACAGTCAATAATGTCTGGAATTTCCTGAAATAAATATTTAAATATTATTTTTATCCTGAAATAAATAATCATGAGCAGCTTTCCTTTTGGGGCAGCTAAGCATTTCCAATACACTGTCACCTGCAAAAAACATAATGACACTTTAACATATATTTTCTCTCTATGTTCAGTTTTTATAAAACAAAGTGGATATCCAAGATAACAATTTATGACGCCTCTTGGTCTAAGGTTATCCCCCTGATCCAGAGGGGCTAACCTCTAATTTGTTTATGCTTTTATGTAAAACTGTAACAGTAACAGAGGTGGAAGGGACCTTGGAGGTCATCTAGTCCAATCCCCTGCTCACGCAGGAGACCTTTACTAGGAATGCAAACCGCCGAACTGCCAACCTTTCTGATCGACAAGCTCAGTGTCTTAGCCACTGAGCCACCTAGTCAGTAACTGGCTGGCATTATTAGTAAGGAAAAGCAAGACACTGCATCTTGATATGCATCTCATTTACAGGTCATATGTTCATTCTCAGTTCTGAAGACACGTGTACCATACTGTAAATGGGCAGCAATCTCCCCTTCCAATAATTCAGCTTCAAAGTACTTTCTACAGATTTGTGTTGCTGGAGTTTTTTAATGAACACAAAGAGATCTTGAACACCCGTAAAATCCATTCACAAGTTTGCTTTTTTAAAATGAGGATGGGGTGGGATACCAACAGACTGGCAAAACAGAGCACACAGGAACTAAATAATCTCACATGTACGTATGGATGCTTCAAATAATCTATAACTTCCCCATTAACTGCAAATTTTAATTTTCCAAAATTATCAAATATCATCAGATTTTGATAATTTTGCAGCTTCTTTAGTATATTTTAAAACTACCAGAATCTACCAAGAGCATATGCACCAGGACAAATTCCTTATTTGTCCAATCACGCTTGGCCAATAAAGAAAAGAAAAAGAAAAAGAAAAAGAAAAAGAAAAAGAAAAAGAAAAAGAAGAAGAAAAGAAAATAATTGAATTGAATTGAATTGAATTGAATTGAATTGAATTCTATTCTATTCTATTCTATTCTATTCTATTCTATTCTATTCTATTCTATTCTATTCAGATTTAACCTTTGGCCTGTTTAGATATAAGGAAAAAAATATCCAGACTGCATAAGTGTTTCAAATGTGGAACACTGCCAATTCCTGTTCCACACAGACTTGATGTTCTTATTGTATCTTCAATGATTCAAAAATAGATGCAAAAAGCATACAATAGACACTGAAACAATTTTGAAACAACTAGGAGCAAATGCTTGATATTTCTTGTTTTATTTTTACTTCAGGGTGCCCACTGCTGATAGGTGAAGACAGACATACTTTCATGTATATTCCTTAATGAAGTACTTTTTATTTGTAAATCTTGACTAGAAGTAGTAACAATTCAAAACTGATTTATATTACACCACAAGCTGTTTTTTTTAAAAAGCAAATTATCTTATTCCCAGTGAGTGAAATATTATTTATTTAAATAATTTTTTTTCTAATTTATTTTGTTCTTATTTTATTAATAACAATATTTTTGCTGAGTTTGTAAGAAGTGTATTTGTAGAAGTCAACAATCCCTACATCTTCTTCAGTTGATTTTACTGTTTTATTTAGTAGTTCTTATGTTAATTTTAGATTTCATTTTTATATTATTCTGACTTGCTAGTCTTAACATTTTCTGTTCCTAATATTCTTTTCAGTTACCCTTTTATTTAATTTAATCTTAACTGTCTGGCCTAAAGATCTTTACTTGTTTTGTAATTTCTTTGCGCTGGTTAATGTTTATAATAAAGAATTTTATTGATTAAAGAAATATGAAAGGATCGCTTACCTGCATCGGATCAGGGCTGATTTTTGAATTCCATTCATTTAAGGTTTTCTGAATGCAATCCCGCAGCTGTAAAGAACATTCCAATATTAACATTTGGTTTCTGTTATTCAATGTAAGAAATAAATTAAACAAAAAACAGTGTAAAAATAACTTTCCAGTATTCATCTATTCCTTCTGCCCATATATGTAAGCGTTATGAATTATAGATATCATAATTTACATAGCACAACCAACATAAGAGCAAGCAGTAGATGGTACATTTCTAAACTGTTACTCATAGGCATTATTAATAAAGTGGATATATTCTCTTTAGTGCCAAATGGGGGCAGCACTCAGCAAAGTGAGTAATCATAAAACAGGTATGGTACTTACTTACTATTTGATGGGTAATCACTTGGGAATACCAGGGCTCTGGGCTTAACAAAGGAATCAGCTCTTGGGAAAAGCAAGGGCAATTCACTTAGGTACTGTTGTCAAGAAAATGGCATGAATATACCTATGAAATTACAAGAGGCTGAACTTGACTGAAGACTTTAGTAAAGGGAGCAAATAAACTGTCCATTTGGGAAACTACATTCTGAATCCAAGATAGCATGCTGCTTTTTATAGCATTCTTCCATTGTTATCCCCAAGAAGTATCATCAACGTTAAGGCCATCCTTGTGAACTTCCTGGACATACCTGGTTAGTTATAGGTGTCACAGTATAACTAGACTAAACTGGCCATCAGCCTGATCTATTACCACTCTACTTACATTTCTAAAATCTCCATCGAATTCAGGAGTTTATCAAAAGGCAAACAACTAGGGAACTGGAATTATTTGATTTCTTCTTCACTGTAATACTAGAGAAACTGTAGAAGCTTCATTGTGTAAATCATGATTAAGCACAATCTGTTTGAACTTACCTATTAAGTATGCATTCCTGCTTAAAAATAATACCTTAACCTCATTAGCCATAGTCACAGTAGTTTGTTTACCTTTCTAGATCCCACCAAACTGTGGAGTATCTGAAGACAAGTTTAAGTTTATTTATTATAGCTAAAGCTATTAATTCTCTTCTCAGCTGACAGACACAGGCCAAAATGAATTGTGATATCTCTTTTTAAAAGAGGGGAAGACCTATCACTTATCTTGCTACTAATTATCTGTTGTCAAAGAACAGTTCACGGGTGCCATAAATACATCCAATGCCAGCTGCACTGACTGCCAGTTTGCTTCCAATTCAAGGTGCTGGTTTTAACCTTTAAAACCCTTCATGGCATGCAACAGGGTTCCCTGGTTACACCAGCCTGCCCCACTAGATCTGGCAAAAAAGGTATGATGCAGGTGTGAGACCTTCATTTGATGGGTCCCAGGAGACCTGCCTTCTCTGCTGTGGTGCCCTACCCTATTGAATATTCTTCCCTCCAAAATGAGACTAGCTCTTTTATAGTATTCCCCAAGGCCCTCAAGTTTTCACTATGTTGTCAGGCCGGGGGGTGAGGGTGGGGGTGGGGGGGTATCACAGGGACCTACTCAGATGGCTCCATTGTTGAGGTATTTTATCATCCCTCTCTTATGGGTTGTATTTTCACTTTTTAATAAGGTTTTTTTTAATATTGCAATTTTTTGCTTTTATTTATTGTTCTTATTAATTCTTGCTTGCTGCCCAGAGTTCCCAATGGTGAGATAGGCAGCTATATTATTTGATAGATAAATAAAAATCCTAAACTTCAAACTGATAAATTGACAATAAGAACGCATTTTAAACAGCACATTTGTCTATTATTTATTGATGTCACTTTGGGCTCGGTAGGTTCCTTTAATAGGAAACTAATAAATAGTACTTAAAGGTGGCTGGAGGCTGTTCCTCTTTGTTTTTATTTTATTTATTCCTCACATTTCTATACTGCCTATCCCACCTGTGTCTCTGATTGTCGGTTTCTACCAAGATTCAACTACATTATAAATAAATAATTAATAAATAACACCTCTGGAATTCTGAGTTATAGCTCGCGTGTCCTCCCTTGTTTTAACTGGCTCTAATGCATGGCATTTATCTATTTGTTTATCAACTTTACACAGCCGACCACTTCACAGTGTGGCTCCAGTCTAACCATTCTGTACTGCCTTACAAAGTCTCTAAATAGTAATGTGCATTAATACCCACAGAACTCAATGTGTTCATGGATAGTTCTCCTAACTGTTGAAAATACTTCCAGTTTGGACTGGTGATTTTTCAAAATATTGAATTTGGGAGAATCTTCCACTCATACAGTTATCTGTTGAGAAGTTTCAACATGTTAAAACAATTCCAGGATTACACTTAGCTTTTGAAGAGTTGGACAAAGCATCTAGCATTCATTACTAGCTTGCATGAACTGAAAGAACACACCCAAAAAAGAAACATACGCAAAGACTGCATATGCAGGCCAAGATTAGAAGTGTGCAATAAGTGTGCAAGTCTCAAAAGTATTGTCTAAGAAATGAAAGGCCTCTCTTGTATTAGCTAATATCAGTGTTCATGACACCGCCAATAAACAACAATGGTGTATAATAGGCCAGAAGGCTATTGGGAAAATGTTCTGTGGTCGGATAAGGCTAAGATAGAACTTTTTTTTGGCTTGAAGGTAAAATGTTAAGGTTTGTCAAAAGGTAAATACTAGATTTGAGCATAAGAACAAATTTTTGAAACATGGTAATGGCAATACCTCTGGTATGCCAAAAATGGTTTGCTGCCTCTGGACCAGGACACTCACTAACAGAATTATGAATTTGGAATTGTTATTAGCAAATTCCACAGAAAAATGTCAGGGTATCTATCTGAAACTCAAGAGAAATTGGCTCACGTAGGAAGATAATGACCCAAAACACACAAGTCGTAAGACCAAAGATAGGTTAAAGCAGAAGAAAACCAATGTTTTGAAATGGCCAAATCAAACTCCCGAGCTTAATCCTATAGTAATGTTGTAAAAGGACTTGAGGGAGGAAGTTCATGCAAGGAACTCCTCTAACACCCCCGAGTTCATGCTGTTCTACAAAGAGGAATAGGCTAAAATTTCTCCAAGCCAATGTGCAGTACTGATTAACATTTATCAGAAATGTTTAGTTGCAGTTATTGCTGGCCAAAAGGGGCTTACCAGTTACTGAAAACAAAATTTGCATACATTTGGCACGCAGGTAATATAGCTCTGGATCATTTTCCTCAATAAACAAATGAACAAGTACAATGGTTTTGAGACATTTAATTGAATTCTATTTTAGTTTTAGGATTTGCATGGAAAGCAGACTGCGTTTAAGGTCATATTTATGCAGAAATATTGAAAATGTAAAAGGGTTCACAAACCTTTACGCATCACTACATATTATAAAATGTATCTTAAAAATTCCTTGATTAGTAAGCCAAACTTTAATTAATGAGTTTTAAATACTGGGCCAAAGGAAGTTTGCAGTAAATATAAAATACTTGAGCATAGTTGATAAAGTAACTTTGATCCAATTTTGTTTGCAGGTTTATTCTTAACTATTACATCCCATATTAAGGTAGTTAAAAAAAACACGAAGTGCCTCAAGTGTTAACATCTCACAGTAGGTCATACTTCCACAAATGACCTGGGGTTAGAATGTGATTTCCTGCTTTCATTATATCAGGATTCCATTCTGCAATTACAGCCAGGGTGAGGCAAAGATATTTAGCAAATACATGCTGCAACAAAACTATTACACAGTTCAAGCTGCTCTCATTTTATATTAAGATAGAAGTATATTAGAACATTTTAAACTGAAAAATAAAACAGAAAAATTTATCTTTTTAGGTGTTATTTTGAGTATAACAATCTAACCCGGGTCTTAAAAGAAAGGCAGAGAACTGTGTTTCCCTATTATTATTATTATTATTATTATTATTATTATTATTATTATTATTATTATTATTATTGCCATGATGCTAGGAGTTATCTTTGGCAATGTTTATAAATCCCCAGATTAAGGCAGGTTTTTTAAACCTTCATTATAACTTGCTGATCAAACTTTTGTCTGTTCATATTCCTGGCTTGAAATGTAAAATTCCAAATCAACAATTTGGCCCTTACATGTTCCATAACATGCCACTATTTCCGTGGCTGGATGAAAATACTCTTTTACCTTCTCTTCCTGAAGGCGTTTCCCTCTACCAGAAAGGCACCTTTGTAGTCTTACCTCATGGGCAGGAAGCACTGCCCAAGTTTTACTAGAACTTTTATCTCTCTGTTATGGAACATGTTGACTTTTGTGGACTCTATTTTGCCAGTGTACAAAAGCACCACCTAATAATAGAAAATTTCCATTTATCACAAACTCAATCACACGGAGATCGCCACAATTAATATTCATCAGGTGTAACATGTATTTCTTAAAAGTTAAAAAAACTATCCTATACACCATTTGTAGATGATATAGAGTAGATATGTTGTGTATGTGTACAGTATTATATATAACTTATGATAGGACAAACCAAAAAGAAGAAACAAAGGAACGGCATTATTATCCCCAATTAGAATAAGTTATATGTTTTCCACATGCAACAAAAATTTATACCCCAAGAATAATGGGTTGGTTGCACTTCTGAAGCTATCCATCCTGTAGCAACTACCATTAACATGCTACAACTCTCCCTGCCCATGTATCCTGCAGCAGTGCCAAAAGCCAAGCCTCTGTATCTCTTCTAACAATAGTACAGCAACATTTAAATATTTATTTACAACCTCAAATATCTGAGAACATTTTTCCCTAGCAGGAAGGAGCAAAAGAGTGGAGGCTGCAATATGGAATACCCCACTATGGTTTAACAAGAGGTTCAGCTTTATCTCGAGACCTGAACAGGGATAAACTTTTTAATTACACCCCATGCAATCAGCTCTACAACCATACAATGGATGAATGCTGTTAATAAGTTTATTACTACTGTACTACTACTATATTCCTTACTATTGCTATATTTTTATGGCTACTGTTTATGTCCACAAACACTCATGTCTATGTAGAGACAAGTACACATTCCAAAGTCCTGTAATTAGTATAACACTTTATGAACCTGGACCCTGTTCTTCAAACATTTATGCCATAATACATGTTAATCTTTGTGGTGCCACAAAGTTTTACTTCAATCCATTCAAAGTCAATTATTCTGACAGATACCAGAGTCAGACCTTTGGAAAGTTTGTATACATCTATTACACAACCAAGTCAACATACATATAATTATTATAATCTGTATACAGTATATTTTATTCATCACTTGAATGATGGAGTTTGATTTTTTTTTTAAAAAAAAACTTCATTCATATCCCGATTTTTTAAGCGTTTTAGGCTTTACAGCAATTTTGTAGCTTGTTCCTTACCTTTGAACTCTACCTGACTGTCCTTACATGACTTTTTCTGTTATAGTTAAGTCCAGAGTTCTTTCCATGGCGACTTTTGATAGGGAAGGCCCAAGCAAAAATACCCTATATGTTAACAAAGCAGCGTTTTATATAGATGGCTTGCTAGATCAGGCTTAAAGAGACTCGGTTAGCTCGCTCTGCAGTTAGGCGAGAGGAACAAACCTACATTCTGGGACCTCCAAACCACCTTTATTATGTAGGACGGCAGTGAAATCGATCACAACACGAGGTTTGATTTTTATTTTTATTTTTTTTGCCCTAGATCCATCCGCATTCACCCGAAGCTATGGGGGGGGGACCCCCAAAATATAGGCAAATGTCATTCCGCGCAACCCGGAGTCCACCTCCGTCCATCGTCTCGTCGGGAAGGCATCACGGGACGCCCCTTAGTCGCCGCCTGTCTCCCCCCCCTCTACACACATATACACACACACAAACAAACACACACACACACATACACACCAACCATCTTTTTTAAGCTCACCTCCTCGCTGGGGGTGGCCGGGCATTTCTTCCGCAAGCGGCCCCAGTTGAGCAGGTTGCCGGTTTGCAGGTTGAGGGTGCGCGCTTGTCTCAGCAGGACGGCCGCCCGGCCGCTTTCGGTCCCCATGCTGGGAGTCCCGGATAACCTTTTCTCTTTCGGCGAGGAGGAGCCGCTATACCGCCCGCCGGGCTCGGTCGGGAAGTCTATACAAGCGCCCGCGAGTCGCCTCCTCGGAGCGGATGACTAAGCAAATAAAAGCGCTCGGTCACCCTCCCAATCACATGGCTCGGGGACAATAGGGGCAGGTGGCCGGTCAGGGCAAAGGAAAGGAGCGGAGGCGGCCGCAGCAACAGCGGGGCTCTGGGCAGCGGAGGCGGCGCGTTGCCGGGAAGAGCCTCAAGCGCTGAGCGCCCGCTTTAGCTCCTCCCAAAAGAAAGCGCAGCCCCGCCGCCGAGCCCCACGCCTCGCCGTCAGCGCATGCCTGAACATCCCGAGCGTGAGTCGTAGTTGCCACGGGTCCCCTCCGCTTTCCCGGAGACGAAAAGAGCGTTGAGTAGCGACCTCTGCCGGTTGCCGGAGGCGTTTCTACCTCTTCATCACCCACACCCGTATTGTACACACACAGGCTTGCAATTCATTTAGTGACTGTTCAAAGTTACAACGGCACTGAAAAAAGCGAGTTTTTCACGCTTAACGACCGTTCCTGCATTCCCCCCCCCCCATTATTAACATGATCAAAATTCAGACGCTTGGCAACTGGTTGCAGGCTTCTGGGGGTCATGCATTCAGCTTCCGTAGCCTTCTGACAAGCAAAGTCAATGAGGGTGCCAGATTGATTTATCCATTGTGTTATTGATTTAACAAAGGCAATGGTTTGCTTAACGGTGGCAAGAAAAGTCGTAAAATGGGGCAAACTCACTTAACAAATGTTTCACTTAGCAACGTAAATGTTGGGCTCAATTGTGGTTGTAACTCGAGGAGTACCTGTACTTACTTCAGTTTTAAGTCTGAGGGTGTCTTGCGTTGGGATGCTCTGGAGGGGCCTGTGACAATTTGCCATGGCCAACTCACCACGGGATAACTCGCTGCAGGACAACTAAATCAAGGAAACGGTTGAATAGCATCATTAAAGAAAGGATGCCAAAGGAGGGAGAAAATGAAATGTGAATGACAAAAATTAAAATATATTTTAAATAATTGAACTGAATTGTTCAATTGTTCCGCGGCAAGTTGTTCCATGGCGAGTTAGGTGCGGTGAGTTGTCCCTCGACAAGTTGGCAGTTGTGAGTTGGCCACAGTGAGTTGGCTGGGGCAAATTGTCCCATTCCACTCTGGAGACTCATTCTGCTTTGCTTCTGTTTAGCGTCCGTTTTCATCCTTAATCTTCTATTTGGTCCCACTGTCTTTCCGCTGCAGTATGTAATCCGATTCCTAGAAGAGAAACGACAACCGCAAGAAGAGAAAACTTTTGGCACCCTTTGATGTTCTTCCAGAGTCTCATTTCACTACTTATTTATTTATATCATGCCTTTATTATTTTTATAAATAATTCAACCCAGTAAGCATATCTAATACTCCTTTCTCCTTCTGTTTTCAATGTGCTATTTGCATGGTTTATCTCATCTCTTATCTTATGAATGTGAATGCGAGAATCTGAATTCATTCATTTCTTAGCAATTACTTGTGTTGTTTAACCGATCAAGAACCTGGAGGAATCTTTTACCTAACTCTGCATCCAGCCCACGTATGAATGGGACTGTTTTACTTTGTAGAAATATAGTACTGTATATGCTATTACCAATATTGGAAAGACCAGAGACAATCAAAGTCCCCACTTGTAACTTTTGTTCCTACTTGGATTACACAACAATCTTAGATTCAGATAATCCTGTATCTCATGAATTTTCAGAATTCTTAATTTTGTTTACTGTAAAGATCAAGTCGTTGAGTGTTTTTATTTCTCAGCCATTTTGGAAAATAAGTTCTAAATAATTACAGAGTTACAAACCATTTTAAGTCATTATTTCTTTCGACAGACTATGTAATTTGTATTGCTGTGTAACCAGGAATACTGTATATCAGCAGGGCTGACATGCTGTTAATTCCTACTGCTAGCTCTCAGCATTCCTGAAATTTACTTCGGAATGGAAAGGACTAATTGAAATGGTTGCCTGTTGCATCACTGAATGATGTAGTGCCCTGTCCTTCCAACAGATTCTGTGGGGTAAAAGGATTAGCTAACTATATTCTTGCTCACTGTTAAAAAGTTTTTCCATTTCAACTCTGCATGAGTTATTGCTTCAATTGTCAGAACTATATCCTTGTTTTAATTTGTTAAACATGTGATTAGGTAGCAGAACTTTAGGCAATGCTTTTTAAATTGATTATATTTTATGGGAATTCAAGAAGTAAAAACACCTTCCCTGCCATAGAATTTTCCCTACCTCTTCATTTTTATTTTTTTCCTCATACAACCAAGCTTTTTTTTAAAAAAAACAAAATAAAACTCAAAAACACATGTCTCACAGGATAGATACCAATTAATTCAAAGCCAAACCACTGCCTGATTATCTAATCATTAGCCCTCTGCTATATCATTTGTACAACTGGCACAGAAAGATCCAAGATTATAATTTCTTCATATACTCACTTTCTACTCAAAAGTAATTACCGTTGAGTCCAGCAGGGTTTATTCTCAGCTAGATTTAATACAATATTGCAGTTTGGAGTTCTATAATAAAAATTATGATTTAATATAATAAACACAGCTGCAAGAATGGGATCAATTATATAACAGCCTGTATGAAATTAAAACTGAAATATTTCTGATACTTGGATTATGTAATCCCCCTTTTGTGTGAATTTGATACAAAGAATGCATTCCGAACTTTGGAATTTGCTGCTTCAGGCTTTTATTTCTCACTGTCTATTGGTCTCCAATAATGGTTAACAAAATCTTGGCTGCTTCCCAGAGTGCTGCAGTAAAAATGGAGTGAATATATTAACAAGAGCACAAGGTGAGAGGATAACATCTCATTCTAATAATATACCAACTATTTGTTATTTAATATTAGTATGTCATTTAAAAATGAAGGAACATAAAAGTTATCTGGTGAACACGTAATACAGTTTTCTATGTATATTAAAGCAAGATGGAAAACTTTTGTGTGGCCAGGGAGACATGATTTCTAGATCATTTTCATCCCAGTGGTGTAAAACCTATAGGGGAATTGCAGTGATAGGATGATGTAATCAAGGAGAGTAGAGTTTTTTTCTCGATCTCATTTTGTGGTTGGCTTTTACAAATGTGGAAAGGTATATCAAGCCTTCCCAAATAAGAACAACTGAGAAGGAAGTGGAGCAAATGAGCTTTGGAAGTCGCCTGCATCTCACCAATTTTTCCTCCCTGTATTCAAAGTTTTATACTGGCGTGTTAATATGTGTGATCAATTACATTTTAAAAGCATATGGATACCATGGCCCCTAATAATATAAGCGATTTTAGGACCTGAGATGTCAAATAGAAATTTGCTGTTAATAATAAGATTAATAATGTGACTTGTGGCAGTACCTGGAAGCAAAATAGAAGAGAAAGAACTAGAGAAGATAACGCAAAGGTGCTTTTTCAAGAGGCAACTAGATTTTCTGGTTTTTCTTTGAAGATGTAAAGAACTGAAGAGGCTTCTTGGATGAGCAGTGAAATGTCTTCAAAGAAAAACCAGAAAGTCCATTTGCCTCTTGAAAAAGTACCTTTGGGACAACCATTACCTAGATGACTGAGAATCTCGATAGACATTTAGAGGAGGTAATAAAATACAAAAACCTGCAAATAGAAGTAGAACAACTGTGGGAGAAGAAAGCAAAGATAGTACCAACAATACAATAATAGGCACCTTGGGCACAATCCCCAAAAAAGTGGAGCACCACTTGAACACCATAAGCATTGCAAAATCACGGCCTGTCAACTGCAAAAGACAGTTTTACTTGGAACAGCTTACATCTTGTGATGATAACTTCAACGTATCCACATCTGCCTATCCCAGGTCCTTGGGAATGACTTGATAGGTGGACAAAAAATGCCGAATCCAGTCTGAACATCTGGCTGACTGTCCATATAATATTATGTTAATATGTTAATAATAATGTCGGTTCGAAAGAGGTTGTAATGTAAATAAACAATAGAAAATCACCACAGTCATTAGAATCTGAACATTCCAACAAACACCAACAAATCCAATCAAGAGCATCAAAACATACCGTCGTTAGCTGGGAAAGGCCATGCAGGTTCTGATTCCATTAAAAGACAAAATACGGATGTTACATGGCATCTGAAATCTCTATGGCTGGATTTTCAGATCGTTTGGATTTTACCAATAAGATGAGAACCAGTTTGGGGTAGTGGTTAAAGCACAAGGCTGCTAGAAATGGAAAGACTTGTGAGTTTTAGTTCACCCTTAGGTACAAAGCCAATTGGGTAACTTTGGGCCAGTGATTTTCTCTCAGCTCTAGGAAGGAAGTGGTGGCAAACCTCTTCTAAAAGTATTGTCAAAAAAATTGCAGGGATTTGTCCAGACAGTCATCAAGAGTGTAACTAACTGTAAGGCATGCACGTGTGCACCCGTGTGGGTGTGCACACACACACACACACATTACCACCACCACTATCAGAAAGACTTCTCCTTCCAGTAGCCACACATCTAAATCAAGAGGTAATTTTGCCCAAATAATTAAAATATTTCAATCAGCTGTTTGGTAAAGAATCAGAAAAATCTATCAGTTTGGAGATCTATATCCCGGATCCTCCACTGAAGTATAATTATGACTTTATTGGGATGAGCTAATATTGGAAAAGCTGCAGTAAACCAGATACAGATAGGAGTAGGTAATATATTTAGTATATTACCTACTCCTGCCATAATTGAATGTAACTTTCTCCTTCAAAAATTAAAGAAAGGTTAGCGGAATTAAGTAAAAGACTTTGCTTCTCAAAAACTATATTTTTATTTCTAATCTTTGCTTCAAGTCTGAAACCTGTTTACTGATCCAAAACCACTATCTTTTAAAGAAAACCTGCTTAGATGCCTAGCCTTGTTTATTGAAGATGATACTCTTAACTTTCACTCTCTGTGATATATTCTTAGCTTATTCCAAGAATATATCAGTTGTACAATATCAAATACTGCCTCAGCCTCACTTAACTAATGTCTGGTTTTCTTTACAGTTTGAAAAACAAAAAATGTTCAGCAAATGAAGGAAAGCAGGAATGTCCATATGTGTGTGCTGATTTAAGATAATGGTTTATATGGCTATAAGCCATACCGAACTTTTGCTATGGGAAAAGGGTAACTAACACTGAAAGAGAATTAATGCTTAACAGTTAATATTTCATAGAGTATGCACTGTGCTTTTAGAGTGAAAACCTTTACAGAGCAAATATCCTCTCACAGAAAAAAAATCCCAAAATATATAATCAAATCCTGAAAGCAGTATTTATTACCTAATAATTTAAATTTAATTTTTATTTAATTTTTTAAATCTTTTACTAAAACTCTTGTGTCTCTTTGACTGTTTGTAACCATCAATTGGAAACAATAATATGTCACAGGGCAACAATTTTAGAACCAAGGTACCTCAAATGGGCTAATTTATAGAATAATGTCAGGAGACCCATTACTCCCATGGAAGTGAAATATAGGACAGTTCTGGCCACACCGGATGCAGTTAGTCACAGTCACATAATCGTCATTTCCAACACTGCCTGACATTCCCACAAGTTAATGTGGAACCTGGCAGGAAGTGTAAATCAATCATGATTCCTAGAGCTCCCTGACAACTTCCCACAAGCAAAGATGATAGAGAACATTGGCAGTGGGGAAGCTGGCAAGGAATGTTGCAAGTTTGCTCAGATTAGTCTCCCCCTCCCTAGTTTCTCTGCGCTTGTGCTGTGCTAGCGACTGGCACAATTCCCATGCCCCTTCCTGATCTTCGCTGTAGATCCATGTGTCTTCCCTGATTCATGTGGAACTTCTTGCCTACATCTATTGCACTGGTGTTCCCCAGGCAGAGTACTAGCAAACTACTTAATTTCTGAGGTTATCAGCTGAAATTAAAGTTAGCTACATGCTACCACAAGATCAGATTTTTTAAAAAATAGCAATGTTTAAAGTTCATTCCAAAATAAGTACAGTAATATGATTTAACACCTTGAGCCCTGGTAGCGCAGCAGACTAAAGCACTGTTATTAACATCAGCTGCCTGCAATTACTGCAAGTTCAAATCTCACCAGGCTCAAGGTTGACTCAGCCTTCCATCCTTTCTAAGATAGGTAAAATGAGGAGCCAGATTGCGGGGGCAATAAGCTGACTTTGTATAAAATATACAAAAGTATGAAAGCTATTGCTTAATGCATTGTAAGCTGCCCTGAGTCTCCGGAGAAGGGTGGCATATAAATCAAATAAAAAACAACAACACCCAGCTCCTACAAGTACTGTCATGTTGGGTGCTATTTCCTGGTCTCAGCATTTCCTGCAAATAGAGTTGGGAGCTTTCCAAGGAACACAACTAAAAGGAGAGATGCTGCACTTGTGTTAATACGTTTTGTGCAGCACTTCTTGCAATGCTTTTTACTAGTCCATTCATTATTGTAATATACTTTATATGGGGCTGGCCTTAAAGATGATCCATAATAAAAAAAGGGCCACACAGCCCCATAAATTCTTCAACTGAAGATATTCATCGAAGCATTTGAGGGAGCTGAAAGGGAAGGGGAGGGTGGGATTTTGTTTAAAACAATTTTTTGTTTTTCTATATTTGGGATTTTAGGGAAGCTGTTGTTGAATAAAAAATATTGTTATATTCTGCTATTTTATGCCTTAACATTAATTAGTGATTATTATTCAAATGTACGGTTATGTACACCATTTTAATAAACATTTGCACATTAAAGGTAGTCCTTGACTTATAACCATAGTTGGGACCAGAATTGGGGTCATAAATTAAGTTACCACATGTCCGAACTCAATTTTACAATGACTATAAAGCAAATCGCCACAATCGTTAAGTGAATCATGAGGTGGTTAAGCAAATTCACTTTCCCCAATGGGTGCTTTTTGTCGGAAACCAGCAAAATACTATATATGGTAAATCACTAATACTTGACTTGGGTGTTGCAACTGGTTATAAATTCAAGACGGTTGCCAAGCACCTAAATTGCAATCACATGACATGGGCAGTGGTGGGATTCAAAATTTTTTACTACCAGTTCTGTGGGCGTGGCTTGGTGAGCATGGAATAGCTTTGTGAACGTGGCAGGGGAAGGATACTGTAAAATCTCCATTCCCTCCCCACTCCAGGGGAAGGTTACTGCAAAGTCCCCATTTCCTCCAGATCAGCTGGGACTCGGAAGGCAGAGAATAGATTGGGGCGGGGCCAGTCAGAGGTGGTATTTACCGGTTCTCTGAATTACTCAAAATTTCCGCTACCGGTTCTTCAGAACTGGTCAGAACCTGCTGAATACCACCTCTGGACATGGGGTGTGTGTGACATTTTGCTACTCTTCAGAAGTGCCACAAAGCACCCTTTCTGAGCCTACCCAAAAAACTTCAGCACAACGGTACATGTATAATAATTAGTGTTTATTGTGATGGAAAGATTCTAGTTTACCAAATTTTCTTCATTTATCTTACACAATTTAAAGGCTGCTCAACTCTATACAACTCTGAGTGACTTTCAACTTTAAAATCAAGAAGCAATAAAATAAAAGCATAGCTCATACACAAGAAAACAATCCACAATATGCAAAAGTCTTACGAAAGCTCAACATCCACTCTATCCCTGGGCCATTTTTTTTTCCAATTATTTTCTGAATATCATCAGGATAGAAGCCATATGGACTTCTGGAGGAGATGCTGTTCTAGTGGGCAAACTGCAATAAAGAAGGCATACTGGTAGTCCTTGTTTAGTGACTGCTTCATTCAGCGACTCTTCAATTATAACAGTGATGAAAAATTAACTTTATGGCCAATCCTTTAAATTTATGAATTGCAGGTCCCTGAAGCAAGGTAAGCTGAATTATGTTCATAAGCACATTTGTGGTTTCATTTAGCAGGTGCTCTGCTTAACTGAATTGTCAGTCCCATCTTTGGCTGTTAAGTGAGGACTAGTACTTTATAGGTCCCAATAAAGTGCATTTTCTTCCTATTCCAGAGTAGGAAAATATTTCAGCAAACAAGCCTTTAATATGCAACATGGTTCAGGGGTTCTATTGTTCACACAGTTCTGTTGCATAGCGATGTAATTCATGTCTTCTCTGGCTGAAACTACAGTCTTAATGTTACTCATGTTACTAAGCATGGGGAAAACTGCCAACAGAATATGTCAGGGTGGTATTTTTATGCTCAGGACTTCTTGTCCAATCAAGATTCCCCCCCCCAAAAAAATTCTAAGGTTGATTTCTCTACCAATAAATGACAGCAAAAGAATTAGAATTTTATTTCTCTTTTGGTTGCCATGTAGTGGTCATCTGGATTAGTGCAGTCCAGATTCAGCAATAAACAATGCTGAAAAGCCAGCCTGTTCAGGGCACTTGACAATGTAGGGCCTATATATATTGTCGTTAGACTAAATTTTCTAAAATGCCTGGAGAAAACCAGTTAAATATCCCTCCTAAACTCTAATAAACAGGTCCTGAAGCCCAGCAGTAGTTATTCCACCAGGAAGACTCTCCTGTGGAGAGCCATGGGGGCATTACGTTTGTTATACAAGAGGTCCTTGATTTATAACTTTTCATTTAGTGACCGCTCAAAGTTACAACGGCCCTGAAAAAAGTGACTTGTGACCATTTTTCACACCGAGGCAGCATCCCCATAGTCATGTGATCAAAATTCAGACACTTGATTGCCGATTCATATTTATGACCCGTTGTAGTGTCGCAGGATCATGTGATCCCTTTTTGTGACCTTCTGACAAGCAAAGTTAACGGAGAAGGGGAGATTCGCTTAACAACCCTGCCACTAACTTAACAATTGCAGCGATTCACTTAAGCAAGGTCGTAAAATGGGTAAAAAAAAATCACTTGACAAATGTCCCCCTTAGCAACAGAACTTCGGAGTTCAATTGCGGTCGTAAATCGAGTTGGAGGAAAGGAGAACCTAACTGACTGTATGTACCCTTTTTGATTGTGTGGGGTCTTGTTGTCCGAGTGCGTACGTGCGTGCGAAGCGAACTTGGCCAAGGAGAACCTTTGACGGCTTCGCTCAAAACTGCTGGCCGCTGAGAACTGAACTGGCGCGGCGGCGCCTTAGCACAAGAGTCCCAAGTGTGTGTGTGGGGGGGGATTCTCACAACTACTTTAAAAACACTATTGCCATCTGTCAGAAATGGTGTAGGCAGGGTCTCCTGCTTGGGCGTGTGGGGGGTGTGGGGTTAGACTAGATGACCTACAAGATCCCTTCCAACTCATCTGTTAGTCACGTGTATCTGCGCGCACGTGTATCCGCAAGCAGGGTCCCAGCGACCTCAGAGCAGCCGACGTTCGTATCCCGAGCCGATCCTGTTTCCCGCTTTTTTTCCTCGGGAGCCGCACCTGAACTCGGCGCCTCGGGGCTCCAGGCGGCCGCAGGAGCAGCAGCAGCAGCAGCAACAACAACAACAACAACGCGCAAGGAAGGGAGGGAATGACGGCGAGGCGGCGGAGCGCGCGGGGCCCTCTCCCTCCTCCTCCTCCTCCTCCTCCTTCCATCCCTGCAAGGCTACCTCCTGGGCGTAGGGAATCGCCTGATTGGCCGGAGGAGCTGCCGGGCCCCCAATTAAAGTGCAGCCGCGGAGCTGCGAGGATCGTCGGGGAGAAAGGAAGACCCGCTCCCCGCCGCCCGCCGCGGTGGCATCTTCTAGATCGGCAGCTGGAGGGCGCGTAACGGGATCCCCGGCGAGATGGGTAGCAGAATCACCTTCTTTGAGGTGGGTGTCTCGGCAGGGACGGGATGAACTGGTAGCCTCTCCCCCCCCCACCTCCCTTTCCCACCCCGATGGAGTGGGGAATATCCTCGGAGCGCCAGTGTGCCCTTCTCCGGATCCATCCATTTGGGTGATACTCAGTGTGCCAGATCGCGGGAGCAGGAAAGGAAGCGAGCAGGGAATCTCTCTTTCCTAACCACCTTTCCGCTTGCCCTGAAGCTACCCAGGACAACCACCAAGGGTTGCTCCGGCTGTTTTTAAGCATAAGAAGCCTTTACTTTGCTATACTTGTCTCTGACAGTGGTGGAACAGCACTTTCCTTGTGTGGTTGCTTCGGAGCACAGCTTTAAAATCATCCTTAAAGTAGCATTCTTCAATCTCTGATCTATGGCTTGCCCTCCAAAGGGTAGTTAAGGACCGCTTCCTCTTGAAGCATAGAGAAGATGGGGTTAGGGTTAGTTACACAAACTGTATCTTTGGAACAGTACTCTAATGGAACATGCATTCTAATGATAAAGACACTTTTGATATTCACTTTAGACAAGCATTTCCTGGAGGCAGGTGTTTCTCGGATTTGAGGTCAGGTTTACCACCAATTCATGCAGATCTGGAGAGTTTTGGCTATGTTGTGGGGGGAAAAAAACACCAGTTCTTCTCAATTACTAGTCAATTGCACATATGTGGGAATTGCTTTTGTTAAGGCAGGTTCCAGACAGGGTGGATGATTTTCTTCCACTTCCCCTGGCTAAATTTTCAAAAACTTTTCAAAGGAACAAGAAACGGGAATATTCACTGATATAATTTATATGTTTGCATTGTAGTTTACTTTTTACGTTTATGTTGGCTGTCTTGTAATTTGTAGCGCTTAAGTAAAAACTACCAATAGTTGAAATCTTTTATTTTACAGTAAATGCATTTTGGACCTTTTCTTACCAACATTATACTGATATATTGAAACTCACTTCTGAATTGCATTCAGTATTCCTGTAACACTTAAAGCTACTAGAAACATCCTTTAGAAGTAGAATACATGTGAAGCATAGTTCTGCTATGCTTCAGAATATTTAACTTTAACTGTTTTCCATTTAACTATTTTCATCACTCAACACATTTATTTTTATCTTCTTGAGAATTTAACTAGAGAGTTGGAATGCTTTAAATATTCCAGAGCATTAACAACAGCCTTAAGGAGGTTTTTTTTTTTCTATTTAGAAAAGTATAATTAGTGCTCTTTTTGCTTGCAAGTTTTGCAAGATGGTCAAACTGCCATTTCCCTGTGAACGTCCACTTTTTGGATATTCCTTTACGAGTACAGACTGTCGTTTGTGAAGAAGCTTGTGTGGATGAAGATTGATAAATATTTCAGATCACTTGGGGTAGATGACCAGTGACATGTTTCAGACACAAACAGCCAACTTCTTTCAAGAGTCGGATTTTGTTAGCTTGTGTGTTGTAAACAGTATTTAAACTTAATAGACTGAAATGATTGACAGAGCTTCCCCTGAAGCACTTGGACTTCAGAAATATCTAGGAAATCCCAAAGCATCTATGTCACAGGCCAGCAGTGCAGAATTAAAGATGGAATGATGTTTGGATCTCTAATTTATCAAAATGATTTTTTCTTGCCTTTGTAAGCAAATAGAATAGATGATCAAAATTCCCCTTTTCAGATTTTGAAAACTTAAGATGTTTTACGTTCAGCTCCTTCCGCATCATTCCACTTATGTTACTTTTAAGAAGGCTGGCACTGAAGATGCTAGCAGTGAAGGTTGTAGGGGAGGGAGAAGAAGGATCCAGTTTAGATTCTCCTCTCTAAGGTCTTGGAAAGCAAGAAAATAAGCGATCTATATAGCCAGGCACTGTAGAATTGTATCTTCAACTTGGCCAGTTTTGAATCCGAAGAGTATTTTTTTATCTCCTTGTCTTATATTACACAACTGAAACAAATAGTTTTAAAACTTGACCAAAAAACAGTAACTTACTCATTTTACCAATTCCAGGCCATGGTTTGAATACAGCTGAGTATTGATTATATTTTTGTCCCCAAAATGGCCCACTACTGAAAATGATGCCTATAATAGTGGTGTATATTTGGAGAGGGATGTGTGAGAGAGGTAATATCTTCACAAAAAGTGCTCATTGAATTGTAACATAATCTGGAAATGGATTAGGGTAGTTTATACTGATCAAGAGACCTTTTATTTACAGTTTGTACTACCACCATGCGCCTAGATGTTTTCTTGAACAGTATGTTCAGCAGAGTATGTACAGTAATCCAGTTTTCCTCAGCAAAACTTGGATGAATTTATTCCTGTAGCCGCTCATCTCATTTTCATCTTGGCACATATTTGCTCAACTGATCTATTATGAAATTGATCCCAAGCTATTTTGTATTGGCTGAGACCAGCATCATGGTTTTTTTTTTGACAAATCCCAGATGTTTTAATTGTAATTATTTTATCATCATTTAGATCAGCTTTCATGATCTGAACCAGTGTCTTGGTTGAAGCTTGTGACTAAGCAGTATTTATAGTCTCTGACTTGCAAAATTTAGGGAAAGGGAAGGAGATATTTATGAAGCATGAGTGAGGTGAAAGTAATTTTGAATCTGTTGGTAAATATTTGGGTGAGTTTACAGTACAATAGAATGATGTAATATCTCTGTTTATGTGATAAGCATCAAAATGACCCTCCTTTATATCTTAAATTATGATGTTGCAAAGAATAAAACTAGAAGTAATTAAAGAGTAGAATTTTGGGTGTGTGTGTGTGTGTGTAAAAAAAGATCATGACCTTTACAGCATTCATTTTGGAGGCCTGAAATAAACAATTTTGTAGCCATGAAGATTTAAAAAATATGCCTTTTTAAATTAGAGATTAGCAGAAGCATATTTAGCTAGAACTAAGTACTGGAAGTTTTAGGCAAGCATACTGTACATGGCATGTGGTTATGTTCTGATTCAGGGGAGGGTCATACAATGATAATAAAATCCAAAGGTAAGTTATTAAAAGTATCACTTAAGTAAACATGGATTTATTATGTTGTGGTAAATACAGGTAGTCCTCAACCTATGATCACAACTGAGCCAAAATTTATGTTGTTAAGTGAGAAATTTGTTAAGTGAGTTTTGCCCCATTTTATGACTTTTTTTGGCCAGGTTTGTTAAGTGAATCACTGCAGTTGTAAAATTAGGAACACTAATTTTAAGTGAATCTGGTTTCCTCATTGACTTTGCTTGTCAGAAGGTCGCAAAAGGGGACCGACCATGTGACTCCAGGACACTGCAACCACCTTAAATGTGAGTCAGTTGTCAAGCATCCAGATGTAAATCACATGACCATGGGGATGCTACAATGGTCATAAGTGTGAAAAGCCGTCACAAGTCACTTTTTTCAGTGCCATTGTAACTTTGAATGGTCACTAAATGGATTGTTGTAAGTTGAGGACTACCTTTAGCAATGCCCTTTAAGACAAGATCATTTTGCTGTCCATATATAATATATGTCTTGCCCTTTAGAAGCAAATCAAAGTGCTTAGTACCCAACAGGTTGGCCAAGCTAGTTGGATGAGTGGCAGAAAATCTTGTCAGTATATATCTAGGATTGAAAATATAATCGGCAATGTCAACAACGATCTACCAACTCTCAGAATCAACAGCCTAAAGCAGCCACTTGCTCACCTTACCAGCATAAGGAAAACCTAGGAAATGGGTAATTCAATGATTTACTCCTCACTCTTCCAAACAAACAAAAAATATTCACATGGTTATATAAATACAGCATTCCTTTGAATTATGAATCATTCATGCTTGCATCTCTCCCCTTCCAACTAATATTAGCGGTTGTGATTTCATTACTATTATTTTTTGCTGAGTTATTTGGAAAATCTTTTGTTGTCATTACTAGTTTAGAATTGGTAGAGGAATGGCAGTTATAGTGATGACAGCTTTGCTGAGTTGTCTAACTTTGGGAATAAATGACATATTTTGGTTTTTACAGGGGAGAAATAAAAATGCACTTTCCACAACAACAGCTTCTAAGATGAAAATACAGCCAAATTTATCATACTATGACCTGCTTTTAAAGCATGATTATCTACCTGAAACTTAGGTCCTTTCAGCTGGGTTTTCTGTAGAAGATAGATGACTAGAAAGTAATACTACAAAAAAAAATTTTTTTGACCCTTGAAACTAGGGTCTTGTAAACTGGGGTGGTCAAAAGATATGAATGGAGGCAGTTAAAGATGCCCATCAATCAGAGTTAGTTTTCAAAAACTCAGGCAGAATTAAGTCTCCCCCCAAGAACTTTGTTGTTCTTCAATTGTGGAAGGAGTTTATGGATCTTACTGGAGGCTACAATTGGCCACTTTGGGATATGAGTTGAAAATGGATTTAAAAAACTGAATCACATCAGAATATTTATTTATTTATTTATTTGCACGTATTTATATGCCGCCCTTCTCCCAAAGGACTCAGGGCGGTGAACACAAGCAAAAACATACAATAAAAATCCGAATTAAAACCAGTTAAAATCAAATAATAATAAATAATAAAACCCAAGAATCTGAATCAGCCCATTTGTTGAAACAGCCAAGTCTTCAGGCCTCGACGGAAGGAACGGAGATCAGGCGCCGTCCGGAGCTCAGTGGGTAACTTGTTCCAGAGGGTAGGGGCGCCCACAGAGAACGCCCTACCCCTGGATGTCGCCAGACGACATTGTCTGGTCGACGGTACCCTGACGAGAGCTGCCCTATGAGAGCAGACAGGACAGTGGGAGGCAGGCAGGAGATGGTCCTGCAGGTACCCTGGACCTAAGCCATGTAGGGCTGTATAGGTAAGTACCAGCACCTTGAAGCGGATCCGGAGGATCACCGGTAACCAGTGCAGCTCGCGCAGGAGAGGTGTTACACGGGAGTAATAAGGAGCTCCCGTAACAACCCACGCGGCCTCATTCTGGACCAGCTGGAGCCTCCGGGTGCACCTCAAGGGCAGCCTGATGTAGAC